AGATTGAAAGTTATGCTTTATTTTATGAAGATAAGTCACTGTGGACAGTTTGGATAAAACTCAGAACTATCACCTTGCTTAGCACGGACCTTTGAACAACCAAATAGAGTCCAAATGTTTTCAAATTGGCCTGGTTAGAAAGGTTTATGTCATAGTTTAAACTTTTGTTTTGAGATGGCCTCAAAATACTTCATGGTTTGAGAATTATAGTGGTACAAAGCAGGATATGTTGTTGTTCCATGTACACAGTAGGGTACAGCTAGTAAACCCCCCTACGCCCTTCCTCCCCGCTTCCCCTCTCCCCCTCCCCCCTCACCCCTCCCCCTCGCACCTCCGCCCCGCCCTCCCCTTGATATTTTGTGAATAAGTATGCACTGCTTACTTCTACCACTGTTATAATAATTGAGATGCAATGATGTAGATCTGCTTACTAGGTTGTTAGCTCATTCCATCTTATTTGCATGATTGTAGAGAGAAAGTTTTAATCTCTAAACCGAAGGTGGATAGCTACGTTGTGCTTGGGTGATTGAAGCTTAGAGTCTAAAGAGCTATCTTCCAGAGTTTTCTATAGTATGTTTTTGGTGATCTTACCATTGTGTTGGTTACTTTACACTGTGTAGTTTTGGGCCATTAGTGACTTGAAGAAATCGTAAGAACTTGTGGATACCTAATGAAATGGAAATGGATGTTCTTTTGGGATGATATGTATCTTTATGTGTAGATTTTAGTTTTGCTGGCATGGTTTGCTCTTGATTCCATTTTTTCATGCGATTGAGCCACTCCCACCTAAGTGGCGTTTGCCACATTCGGTCGCGATCCAACACCCTACCGCCGTCGACTCGTACGGTTTAGGGTTTCGGGGGTGGGGTCGTGACAAAACGTCATCGTCAGATATATAACTTTGTTATTATGCGAAATGAGAATACTAAAAGAAAGGTCACCCCTCAAGCTATTCCCTTTTTCTTTTTTTTCTTTTTTTTTTTGAACATTAGCACATAACATTTATTAACTATAAACTAGTGAAGTTACAACGGGAATGAAATACATAGAGGTACATCACAGGAAATTGGTAATTACCACTGATGATTGATAAACACCTCCCTTGGCTAAAGAATCAGCTTCAATGTTTGCTTCACGGTAACAATGTTTCAACCTCAAGTGATTAAAGAATGCCACCGATTTCATGAAAAATGGAAGAGAGTCTCCAAGGAACTCTTGCTTCTTTTTTACACCATGCTATAATATTCGTTGAATCTCCTTCAATAACCTTTCCTCCATCAAATTTTGAAAGCAATTTAATTCCCTCCAGTAGACCTCTTGCTTCTGCTTCATTGACTGTTGTATTACCACAAGTACCAGAGTAAGACAATAGAATCTTCGTAAGATAATATATGATAAGCCCCCCAAAACACGTCATTCCTAGATTTCCAAAGAAGCTGCCATCAAAGTTGAGTTTATAGGTGTTTGAAAGAGGTGGGATCCATATTGCATACCGGATTGCTTTATAGCTATGAAAAATAGCTACTTCATAAAAATGCATTATTATAAAGCTTTTGGGCATACCTGGGCAATCCTCAAGCTGTTCATGCAAGTCAAAAGAGGATGTACAGCCCATGGATAGCATACCAAGACCTTAACACTTTATTTTTATTATGGTGGATGGGATACTATAAAACAATATTATCAAGACCATATGGGACCGATTATATAAGTAATATTTTAGTTAGCTTTATTATCATTAGATGAATAATGTTAAAAAAGAAAGAAATGATTTTGAGTTTGTAAAAGCTAGTATCTTGAAATTCACCAAATGAATGGTCTAAATTCGTTGTTCAAGTGGACTCATTTTGACCATATCTAGGGTTCAAATTAAACTTCTTTTTCTTTTGGGATTGATTATTGAGATGAAGAGAGTGTGTGTGTACAATTTTGGGTCATATAAATACCACAAATATGGTTTTCTAGAAGTGTGGTTGTATCATACTATGATACAACCGTTGCATGATATCACTGCATCTGTTGCCAAAACAAAAGGGGTAAAAAAATAATAATATTATTCCCCGATAAAAGATCACATTGGTCTTTCTTTCAAGGTCACCCTATTCCTTCTTTCACCCAAGGGATTACCACCTCAACAGTGTCATGATCACAATAGTCCCTTACAGTCTCATGATCACAATTCTCCTTTACACACCCTAGTCCTACTTTCAACCAAGGGATTACCACCTTAACAGTCTCATGATCACAATAGTCCCTTACATTAGGGAGTAAAATACTAGAGACCTTATCGGTATCCATATGTTGAAAAAAGAGAAATAGAGAAGCTTGTTCAAGATTTGATGGAATCAGGTAACATTCATCCTAACACCTGATTTCTCCAAGGGCTTCATTATAAAGACTTATGCCTCAATGACTGGGATAGGTGTTGTGCTTATGCAAGGATAGGAAATGTTAGCAATTATCCATGCCATACATAAATGGAGTACATACTTGGTGGGACAACACTGTATTATCCATACTGATCATCACAATCTTAAAATAGCTTGTGGAATAGAGAATTTCAACTTCTAAGCAACAAAAATAGGTCACCAGGTTCGTGGGATATGACTATGAAATTGTCTATCATAAAGGGAAGGAGAATGTGGTTTCGGAGGCCCTTTCTGGTATTAGTTATTTAAGTTGCATGATACCCACTTAAAAGTTAGTTATGCATACTATTCCCAATCTGATGGTTACACTGGAGTGGTCAACAAATGTTTGGAGACCTATTTAAAGTGTTTCACTTCGAACCAACCCAGACACTGGGTTCAGTCATAGATGGCCTCCATTTTCTGATTGTGGTACAATAAAAACCAGGAACTTTCCACCAAAATGACACCAGACAAAGTTGTTTACAGGCAACTCCGTCTATCTATTACATATTACATCATTAGGAATGCAAGTGTTCAAGTTGTAGATTCAATACTGCAAAGCCGAGATCATATCATACAAAATTTGAAGGAAAATTTAAATTCGGTGCGCAATGTAAATGAAAATGGGTGTGGTTTGTACAGGGTTGCGACCTTAAACAATCCAAATTAGGAGCACTTCCAAATTTTATTATTAGATGTAATTTTGGTGTAAAAAATTATTAAGATGGACTTATAATCCATTTTCATATCTAAATATGAATTTTTAAACTCCAAAAATAGTTCTAACCAAGTAAATCTATAAATAAATAAAAATCTTGAAAATGGATGATCTAGATAACGTGTTCTAAGATGCACTATTTTTTAGAATCAAAATCTTTATTTTTTCACATATTTATACATCTTGACGTCGAGATAATCAATTAGAGAGTTTTCCAACATCAAAACAACCTTCTGCAAAAAAATTTTGAAGTGCACTTTAATTCTACATTTTAAAGTTGCGACCTTATAAAAACTTTTTTTAATAATTTTTTTTCACTCTATGATTAAGTAAATTATAATTTAAAATTTTAATAAATTCAAAATTTTTGAGTTGAACAAAACCTTATGGGTTATGATTCTATATTTTTTATGACTTGATTGTTGGACCGTAAAAAAAGCCTTATGGATTGTGAATTTTATTATCTTTAGAGCCGTTTGTGTATCTGCATAACTATTATATTAAAATAGATTACAAGAAAAATATGAGATTTATAGACAGTTTAATGATAACGAAATGGAAATAGAATACCTATTAGGAGGGCTAAAAAATCTATTACGTGTCTGACAAGTATCTATTGCACTTGTCTCTCTTAATAAAAAGAAAGAAAAATTGCATAAACCCCTAAAATGGATTTTCTAATCAATTTATCCCACCTAACTTTTCCTAGCAATTTCCCTCAAAAACTATGTTGGCTAGTAAATACCCCCAATACAAAAAGTTCATTTTTTTTTATTATTATAAAAATACCCTTCTCATACATAATAAATCACAAATTATTTTCGGATCCCAATAAAAGAAAACGCCGAACTGCACTTGTACAATACCGGATTGCTCACTCCAAAAAGTCGGATTGCCACTTTAAAACGCTCGACTGCTCACTTCAAAAAACCGGACCGCCAAACTTCAAAATGTTGTAACGCCCTTTCGCAAAATGTTGTACTAAGTCTTCAAAACGCCGGATTGCCTTTTCAAAATACTGGACCGCTATTTTAAAATGCCGGACTGCCTATTTCTCAAATAGCATAATTCCTGGATTGTGTAATGTTGTACCGCCCATTCCAGCAAAATAATCGTCGAACCGCCTCTTCCAAACGCTGGACCGCCCTCTCTAACGAAAATGATTGGTTAGATGAGAGAAAATATTGTACCGCCACTTCAAAATGCCGGATTGCCCCTTCAAAATGCTCCATTGCTATTTTAAAACGACAGACTGCCCATCTCTCCAATTCCTGGATTGTGAAACGCCGTACCGTCGATTCCAGCAAAATAATCGTCGAACCGCCTCTTCCAAATGCTGGACCGCCTCCTCTAGCCAAAATGATTGGTTAGGTAAGAGAAATGTATTTTCGTAAAAAAAAAATAATATATATATATATATATATATATATAGTAGTATTAGTTAAGTTAAGTATTATTTATTTATTTTATTATTAGTATATATATATATATATATATATATTATTTTTAGTTTT